GAATTCTGTAAGCTTGGAAGTAACTAAAAAGCTCTCAATTTCTTTTTTCTTCCCTTTAGTTAAAATCAGTATGTTTTCCCCCTGTGTTTACATACAAGAATAATCTCTTAGCTCTACAATATTCCTTATCCTTGGCTTCAATGTGGCCATGGTTTTGCTGTCTCCTGTGGCATTTGCCTGAGCAAAAAGGACTTTTGTTAAAGTAAGGCATTAAAATGGAAATATTGGTTGCAAAAGAGATTCACCTATTATTAGAGGGAAGTTATTTATCCCTATAAAACTGGTTTTCTCTTCAAGTATAGGCTCTGTACCATTTATTTAACAATGGTTTTCAGAAATTACTCAGAAAATTATGAATTTTTTGGCATCTGATTTCACAACATTATTGATTTCAGTCCAGTCTACATTTCAGACATTAAGAGAATGGACAACCATTGGGCAAATACTGCCAGATCACAGATATGACTAACATTTTAATGGATTTTGAAGTAACAAGGTTTGTAAGCTCCACCATGGTATCTGATTTAGCAAATTTAGCTGGATTCTTCATCTTCATGACAGTGAGTTTATAATATTATTGATTGTGCAGCTATTTCAAAATGAAATAAGTGTTGTCACTGTGAAATAAACAATTAAAATGCAAAACCTGCTTTCACAAATTAATTTATTTACAGAAATATTATCCAAGTAGATCAAGAGCCTTGAAAAAATCTCCCAGAAGTTAACTAAGGGCTGCAAAGAAAAGCAAGCATTCATTTCTTAATTGCCTAGGCAATTTTAAACACCTTTTGCTGATTCTCTAGTTGCTTAGGTTTTGATTTGCTGTACCAAAAAAAAAAAAAAAAAGACTAAATTTCATTCCTGAAGAAATACTAAAGATACCTGCCAACATAAATTACCCTGTCAGTAAATTTTAAGGAACCTGTCCTTCACTTTGCACTTATATTTACAGATTAATTGAATTTCTAATTCTTATTTTTTGAAGATGTGTCCAGTGTCTAAAATACATTGATCAAATATTGTAAAGAAAAAAAAGTTTTAGGTTTACCTCTAAGTCAGGCAGGCTTTCTTGCTCCCTTGCTAAGCAGGTTATATCTTTTAGGAATTGTACCTGTAATGAAAAGTTTGCTCATGTGCAACATAGAGAAGTTGGACAGTGATTTAAAGACAAATGGGAGTGTATCAGATGAACCAATGAACAGCTGCTACACCCCAACAACTCCCTTTGACAAACTTGCGTCAGCTCTTTTGAAAAAAAAAAGGGAAAAAAAAAAGAAGAAAGGTAAATCAGTTTATTGGAGCACACTGAGGGCAAACATGTCAGTTACCAGAGCTATTTGCTCTCTGAGCTTAGCACTATTACAAAATGCGTATCCACAGAATGCTTCACCCAGGCTTGATCATGCTTTAATTTGGTAGTTTTGATTTTTGAATGATGCGTGTACGTTAAACTTGCAGTAGCGCAGTAGTAATAAGCCTGGAAAATAGGATCTGGGATAAATAACTAAAGGCTCCCACACTGCTCTTACCCCTGTGACTACAGAGCCACATCGTGCAATTGCAGTGAGGTGTGCACGGCAGGACTTGCTCGGAAATGTGTGCTTTTAAATA